AAAACGTCGAGCGATGCTAGTCGCACGGGATTATGCGACACGTGCGACGTGCTGTCATCGCAGGGAACGTGATGCGACGGGAGGATGGGACCCATGCGACTGTCCGAGCGAAGTAACGGCGAGATTAAGCCGTCCTCCATGGCTCTTCTACACTCAGCGAAGCTCTGCGATATCTGCAAACGCGTTGCGATCAGGCTACCTAGCGACTGTCGTCGATACGTTTGAAATTCCCGGCGACGACGACGCCTTATGAGAATGACGCCACGAAAGCACAATATTCTTACAACAAATCTTCAAGCCAGTAGCCTGGAAATGGAAGATTGAGAATTATTATAATCTTGGACAACGGGATTGTCGGCAAGGCGGATTAGACACCGTATGCTACTGGTGCTCTGGTGACAGACAGAGCGATTATGGGAACTGGCAACACTCGTGAATCCTAGTGTCCTGCGTCTGTCTGCCTAATCCACACCATCAGAGGAACTATCACGAAGACCAGTCTGGGAGATTCCTTGAGAAATACCAGATAATCTTGGGAGGCATGACAGCGGATGGATTTCAACACATTTTGCTCTAACGGCTTGCTCGGTTCTTGGAGGTTCCATTTTGAAATTCCCAGGAATTCCCGAAGCTCCGCCCTCGGGAATTGGGATGCACCGGAGGAGTCTCCTAGGTAGATTTCGGTTTGGCGCGAACCTCGCCAGGCTGCCTCGGGAGTGCCGCATAACACCCTCCACTTGATAAAATTTCCCTCGACTCGAACTATCGAAATCACAAGGAACATTATTTTTGTTGAAGACGACTGTAACGCGTTTGGTTCCCAAACTCTACCTCCCCCTCCTGGCGAACCTAGAAGACTGTTTTCCACGGCACTGGGTTCACGAAAGTGGGGAAATAGTCGACTTCCTGTGGGATAGATCTGCCTGTTGCGGGTACTCCTCACATTATCAAAATCAATGCCGGTGATTTCCGTGAAACCGGGCACGAAAATAGCTTCCACCGCATCAACATGGAGTCGCACTTTGAGTCATCATTCGTCAGTGTCAACTGCATTCGCTGCTCCTGATCTCGCCAGTGCTTCTCATCCTGCTTCTCACATCACGTCCGGCGCCTCGCGAAAACTCCACCCCCTCCTTCGCTACACGCGAAGATGTAACCACGGATCGGCGAAAGCTCCTGTTTTCGCTACGGAAGCCCAAGGAGTGCGAGGGGCCGAACGGCACGATGGCGAATAAGATAATCCCCATGGAGGCCGTTGCGAGTCAGCGCAAGCTGGTCGGCGGATGGCGGCCGCGGAAGGGGAAATACCTCCTGGCGCTCTGCACCACTGGGAGACTGACCAATCAGGTACCGGGGAAAGGGGACTAACCAATTAGGTGCCAGAGGAACGGAGACTGGCCAATCAGGTATGGGAAAGTGAGTAATCTCTCGTTCGGCTCCACCCCACCCAGAACCTCTCCTTTCCTTTCTCTACCTCTCCTCTCTGTCCTCCCTTTCCCCCTCCCTCCTTGCCCCCTCCCTCTCCCCCTCCCCCCACATGTGGGAAATCTCAAAGCTGCCTTCCGTCTACCCTTTTCCCTCCCTTTCTCCTCCCGCGTCCGCAGAGCAGCAGGAGTGCATAATGACTTACTTCATCTTCGCAGTCCTCTTGAACCGCACGCTGCTAATCCCCCCTCTCGCCGTCCGCCCAACACACCGGCCTCAACCTAATCTGGCCCTGGACCGCCGTCTTTAATCTCCCCAGGACTGCATACCTGCCTCTCGCCCTCTTACGGCCCCCTCACCACGCTCCTACTACCGGACTACCTCGCCCGCTCCCACTCCCCCCATGCTTACGTGGCACACCTTATCTGCCTCAAGCCCACGTGTAATCATGAGTGGACGCTGCGAGTGTTGCTGCGGGAGGTGCCTGAGATCAAGCTAGCGGACAAGAAAGGCCGCCCGATAGCTGTGAATCAGAGCTTGGTGGATAGGATTGGGGAAGGTTCAGCTGGAGAAGCTTCTAGAAGCTGTAAAGGTGGTGGAGGGGGAGGAGGAGAGGGCGGAGGCGGAGGAGGGAGGAAGAGCGGTGAGGGGGAGAGTCACGCTGACTCTTCAGGGGGAGAGCAAGTTAAGGAGCAAATAGGAGGGAGTGGAGCAGTAGGAAAAGGGGCAGCAGCAGCAGGAGGAGGAAGTCGTGGAGAGGAAGCATCAATGCGGAGACGATTGAATGAAGTGGGCAGTGGAGCAGAGGAGACAGGTATGCAAACACACGAAGGTGTGGCTGCAGCAGCATCCCAGGCAGCACCGGCTTGGGCTGGGCAAGCATTGGCTACAGCAGAATCATCAGGCGCAACAGAATTTGCAGCAACGACCCTCAACCTGGCTGCCACAGCACCAGCCGCATTAACTACTGCAGTCTTGCTGCACCACCATCTACACCAGCGCCAGCTGTAGCAGCAGCAGCTGCAGTGGCAGTACCAGAAACACCTGCTGCTGCTGCAGCAGCACCATCACCAGCATCTATGGCAGCAGCAGCAGCACCACCGTCAGCTGCTGCAGGCAGCACCGCCCCTGACAAACAACGAGGAGTCCAGTCTACCTGCCGGCCACATCCTCACATTCGGGGATTTGGCGGGAACGTCTGTGATTGGCCACGACTGGCTGCTGGAGTCAGCGCTGCCCCTCATCACAGTCCCTCAGGGCTGCAGCAACCTGTGGCGCCCGCATGCAGCTATTATGGAGTTCGTGGATGGCTTCATTGCAACGCACCTGCCATCTCCCTTCATGGCTGTGCATCTCAGGCGGTGAGTGAGTGGCTGCTGTTGATTCAGTCAGTGCACTAGTGCCCCTCGTCACAGTCCCCCTGTGCTGCAGCAACCTGCGGCGGCCGCATGCTGTGGTTATGTGCCTTCGTGGAAGGCTGTATCAACACTCACCTTGCCTCCCCTTTCTTGCCTGTGCACCTCATGAGGTGAGTGATAGGCTGCTGGAGCCAGTGCTATGCTGCCCGTCGTTACAGTCCCCCCAGGTTACAATCACCACTTCTATCTCATTCCTCTTTTCTTTTCATGATAACCCGACACAGGGGTGATTTCTCCGGCCATCTGTAGAAGCAGAGCTACAAACGCCACGTGTTCCTGCCATAGCAGTGCCGCTTACCCCTCACCACCCCCTCCCCCTTCTATGTTTCTCTCAAATATATAAACTCAGGGGTGATTTCTTCCGGCCATCTAAAGAAGCAGAGCTACAAGCGGCACGTGTTTCCTGCCCATAGCAGCGGTGGGAGATTTCATTCTCTCCCGCGTCGCTGCTGCCAACCTGCACACGGTACTGCTCGCCTCTGATGGCACTGACGCAGAGGTCGCCATGTTGACACAACTGATCACAGGTAATGAAGTGTCTCAGTGTGCGGTTTTGAGATTGCTTGGCATACACGTGGCGCTGCTGCCAACCTGCACACCGTACTGCTCGCCTCTGATGGCACTGAAGCTGAAATTGCCGCGCTCATTCGCACATGCTCACAGGTAGGGAAGCTGATTCGTATGCCAGAGATAGTCTGACCTGGCTCGGCAATGCACATGGCGCTGCTGCCAACCTGCACACCGAGCTGCTCGCCTCTGACTTTACTGAGGGCTGAAGTGGCAATGCTCTCGCACATGCTCACACATTTAGTCTCATGAGTCTACTTTGCCTCATAATCCTGAGGTTTCCCGCCCCGTTCCCTTCCACTCACCCCATCCCCTTCAGCCAGCAACGCCACCAGGCTGGTGACGCTGCATGAGAGTCGCTTCACATGTGCCGACACACACAATGATCCCTGGGGAGGACACTGCTTGCTCTCACTCTCTCCCTCTAGCCACCAACGCCACACCTGCACCTTTCTCCCTCATCCCCCATCCCTCACCCCCACAAACCCCCTCTCACCCCATCCAGCCAACAACTCCACGAGGCTTGTCACAACTACCGAGAGCCGCTTCACATGGGCCGACACACACAATGAGCCCTGGGGACAGGCGCTATTAGCTCTGGAGCGAGCCTGCCCGAGGGGGGGAGGCAAGGGGGGTGTGCGGGCGCTAGCAGAGAAGTACATCTGTGCGCGGGCTCACGTGTTCTATGGCACGGTTTACTCCACGTTCTCCACGGATATTATCAGGATTCGGGCGGCGGAAGGGGTGGCAAACTGCATGGATGGGAAGGTGGGGAGGAGGGGGTAGTGGTAGCTGCCTTGGCCGTGATTGGTCATCCGTTGCTGCAGGTAAGAGAGCCCATACAACATGTTGGAGAGAGGGTGGTAAGGGGGTGGTGAGGGCGCTAGCAGAGAAGTACATATGTGCGCGGGCTCACGTGTTCTATGGCACGGTTTACTCCACGTTCTCGACGGATATTATCCGGATTCGGGCGGCAGAAGGGGTAGCGAACTGCATGGATGGGAAGGTTGGGGAGGAGAGCTAGTAGAAGTTTGCTTGAGCATGGTTGGTCATCTGTTGCTCCAGTTGCGGCTGTTACGCAGACGTGGTTAGACCATTCAAGATGTTCCTTGGAATTGTACATGCCTGCCGTAGCAGAATGTTGTAAGAGCGCATGGGGCATTGGCCATGAACCTGCAGAGCAGACCATGCCTGCATGTGTGCATCCACTTGTGCATGCACTTGTGGCATGCACTTGTGCATCCACTTGTGCATCCACTTGTGCATCCACTTGTGCATCCACTTGTGCATCCACTTGTGCATGCATTGCTTGCATTTGAGCATTCACAGTAGTAATATTTTCTCCAACTGTAAGTCAGCCACAAATGCATGATTGAGCGCACTCAACCAGCTGTATCTCTGCATTGAAAGCACTTTTTTCCACTCCCCAGTGTGCTCACCGCACTGTACCGTGGGGTACCCCTTGCTGTTGCACAGCATGTACATTGTCTGCTGGAGCGTCTGTGTCTATTTGCCTTTTGAGTCGAACCGAAATTCTTTTACGCTCTTGCTGCAGCCAACCACACCACACACATGTCTGCTGGCCCGTGTCTACTTCTCGGCCGCCTTGCCAACCACCTTGGGCATCTTGTGTGTCCCGGCTGGATCCAAAAAGTGGAGCGATGGAGACGCCAGGGAGATTGGGGAGTCCATAGGAAATGGGAACACAAGGGGAAATGGAAAACGGGTAGAGATGATATGAGGAAATGGGAACGCGCTGGCCCTTGCAAGTTGCACCCAATGGGACCAAACTCACACACACACCCCTCCTTCCACACACAGACACACTCACAATCCTCCACATCCTTCAGCTTGTAGTAGTGCGGAGCAATCTCCACCAACCATTCCAGTTTAGTCTCCACGACCTGTCACCTACACACCTGCTCTACCACCTCCCCCCTACATACACATGTCCTCCACACACTCACAATCTTCCACGTCCTTCAGCTTGTAGTAGTGCGGTGCAATCTCCACCAGCCATTCAGGCTTGATCTCCACGACCTGCCGCATGAACTCCTTGCTCGTATACACCAGCTCATGGTATACCACCACCCACTCCTCTCCCACTCCAGGCACATACAGTGCAAACACACCTCCCTGCACACACACTCACAATCCTCCAAGTCCTTGAGCTTGTAGTAGTGCGGAGCGATTTCAACCACCATTCGGCTTGATCTCCACCACTTGCCCGCATGAACTCCTTGCTCGTATACACCAGCTCATGGTATACCACCCACCGCGGCAGCACCTGCGCCAGCCCCGAGCTCGGGTGGATGTGCACGGTTTGGGGGTTCTTCACCGTGCGATACGTGCGGTTCTTCTGCAGGCGAGCCGTGTGGTAGAAGTAGCCTGCACATGGGAGGAAACGGGAAGGAGAGGGGAGAACGGAGCAGGGAGCAGGGAGAGAAAGACAGGAGAATTGAACTGGAGGTGCACCTCTCATTTGGCCTGCTTGATAACATCCATGTGCATTCAGCAAAGCAAGTTCACACAATCGCACCACCACTAGCTCTCACCAGCGGTGATGGCCTTCTTGATGGCATCCAGATCCCCACTGCTGCTGCTGGGTTCAATCTCCACTCGCTCCAACAGCCCCATCAACTGATCGCGCACGTCCCGAGCCATCTTCATGCTTCGCACCTGAGGGGCGGAGGAGGAGAGGAGTTGAAGAGAGGAAGAAGGACAGTGTAGGGAGATCCGGCGCAGCAGCAGCTAATGTGGTCTTCAATTCAATCTCCACTCGCTCCAACAGCCCCATCAGCTGTCCCTCACGTCACAAGCCATCTTCATGCTGCGCACCTGAGGGGTGGTAGAGATGGGTGGGGGGAAGCGGAGCGAGACGGGAGATGGAAGGGCAGGGAGATGGAGAGAGAGTAAAGATCTCGTGCAGCAGCGGTCTCACATGGCAGAGCGATGTCAGTCGGCCCACGTTGCCCGTGCCTTGTGGTGGCACGACGGCGCGCAGGCTTGCTGATTGCACAGGAGCACATGAGAGCCTCACAAGATTGCACCTCTCAGCCTCTCACCTGAGAATTGTTGATTCCTCCCATCATCCGCACGCCACCTGAATGTATTCTCGTAGCAGAACTGAGACGAGAAGCTGGTCTCTGACCACTGCTCGTAGCACGCGTAACAGCGCGATATGGTCGCCCACGTTGCCCGTGTGGAAGTTCATGGCGCGCGTTGTCTGCATGCACCTGCTTGTCCTTTGGCCGGTAGAACACCGCATTGCCCACCGATAGCATGGCGCATATCGTGGCTGCTTCCTCGGAACAACTGGTGGAGGGAAACGGGATGGGAGATGAGGAATGGGGAGTGAGGGATCGAAGATGGGAGACTGGGGCGGGCATGTTTATTGAGAATTCTCAAAAAACATCGAAGATGGGAGAGTGGGGCGAGCAGGGGACACAGGGCAATTGAAGGGAAAGTGGCGAGGGGTGGGGTGCGTGCAGTCATGCCAGCATTGCCATGCCCGCATGCATTTGCACGTTCTGGTGGAGGTACTTCAGACTCACAGGTACTTGTCAGAAGCTACGAGCAGCTTCGACATCTGCGGATCCCCATTTGGTCGACATCTGGGGAACTCGACCATCTGGGGTGGCGCCCCCACCCCAGCGCATACAGCATCTCCAGCGCCCTCAGCAGCACGGATGGGACCAGATCACCAGGGGAAAACCACCAGCACCTCACAGCCCATGCCCCAAAGAGCCCACCCACTCACAGGTACTTATCGGAAGCCACAAGAAGCTTCGACATCTGCGGATCCAGCGGAAACTCCGCCATCTTCCTCCCGAGCTTGGTCAGCTCCCCGCGGTCATTCAGCGCCCCCAGCGCATACAGCATCTCCAGCGCCCGCAGCAGCGTCTCCGCAGGGGGCGGGTCCATAAAATCGAAATTCAGCAAGTCGTTAATCCCAAGAGACTTCAGCATGAGCACGACATTCCCGAGGTTCGTCCTCTGGATCTCCGGCACCGTATTGTCCTCCAACTCATTCGCATACGACCACGCTGTGTACAGCCGGAAGCATTTCCCGGGGGAAGTTCTACCCCCCGCCCCGCCCGCTGATTCGCCTGTGCTTTCGACACGGGGGTGACTATAAGAGACTCCATGCCGGTGCGCGGGTTGTAGCTCTTCTGCTTCACAAACCCCGGGTCGATCACGTATTTAATCCCGTCGATGGTAAGAGAAGTTTCTGCGATGTTGGTTGCCAGAACCACCTTCCGGGCTCCCTCCGGCGTCTTTTCGAAAATCTTCGCCTGCATGTCCGTGGGCAGGTTCGCGTAGATCGGGCAGATAATCATTTCTGCGATTTTTGTCCCTAAACCCTTGGTTCTGTGCCTTAAAATCTCCTCTGCCGCCTCAATCTCCTCCTGCCCTGTCAGGAACACCAACACATCCCCTGCCGGCTGCGTTACATGGATCTGTAACACGGTTACCACCGCGGCATCTAGATAATCCGCCTCAGGCGCCTTAGTGTAGTGTATATCCACGGGATACCTCCGCCCGGGAATCCGGAAGATCGGCGCAAAGTCGAAATACTCGCTGAACTTCTCCGCGTCGAGCGTGGCGCTCGAAATCAGCAGCTTCAGATCGGGCCTGAACCGCGCTATGTCCTTCACAAGCCCGAACAGCACGTCCGTGTGAAGCGTCCTCTCGTGCGCCTCGTCCACCATCATGACAGAGTAGCTCGCGAGGTCGGGCTCGCCGAGAAACTCGCGGAGGAGCATGCCGTCGGTCATGTATTTGAGCACGGTCTTGTCGGACGTGCAGTCCTCGAATCGGATGGAGTAGCCCACCTCGTGCCCCAGCTTGCACCCCACCTCCTGGGCGACTCTTGCTGCCACGCTCATTGCTGCCACTCTTCGGGGTTGGGTGCACC